AGCAAGGAGTTAACAGCGCTATTTTGCTTAATGGGGCCTGCGGCCTCTAGTATCTTCAAGGCATTGACAACATAAGCTGAATCTGAGACTAGGTTAAATGGGAAGGGGCAGGCACGAAATACTTCAATAACTATTTGTAATTCCACCTTTTGGGGCATGCCAGGAGGGAATTGATGTTGAACTGGACCTTGGCCCTCTACCATATATGCGCCATACCCTGTTTTAGAGCCATTAGTTAATATGGTCGCTGCACCTGGAATGGGCTGCGCGGCCGTAATCTTAGGGAAGATAATGGGGTGTTCTTTAAAGAATGACATCAGGGGGTGTTTTGTGTAGTGATTGTTCGATGAGACCCATATAGCCACATCGCCAAATGGCCCACTCATCTGTAGTAGCACATAGTGTGGCCACTTGGCTAGCCAAATAAGGCACTACAATAGAGGTGGGCACTGCCCCAAATGCTTGAATGGTTTGCTGCACCCCGGACTGTGCCAGATTGGCAACCATGATAGGGTAATATTCGATGGTCCTAGCAGGGGAAACTCTGGGATGTATCCACAGCACTGGGCCTTGTTGCCACAGCAGCCCCGTGGGCTGTCGGGAAGTCGGTAAAATGCACAAGGTAAGATCCTTTCCTTCCCAGACCCAATGTACGCAGGCGTCACTCAACCTCTCTTCTACCAGCCGCAACACCTCCCTGGCCTCCGCGGTCAGCGTTCTGGGGGAGCCTAATGCAGCATCACCTCGCAAGATATCATAGAGAGGCTTTAACTCATAATTGGCCAGCTGCAGAGATCCTCGAAGCCAATTGATGTCACCTAACAGTTTTTGAAAATCATTTAATGTGCGTAGCACGCCTGTTCTTATTTCTATCTTTTGTGGGCAAATCTTTTCTGGGGTGATGACTGCACCCAAGTATCGCACCACTGTGTCCATCTGTACCTTTTCCGGGGCTATCGACAATCCTGCCATTTCTAGAGCTGTAACTAACTCAACATAGGCCCCTTCTACTTCAGTTTTTGTTTTACTAGCTATTAATATATCATCCATATAGTGGACACATCGGACCTTAGGGTGTTTTTCTCTTACTGGCTTTAATGCTTGTCCAACAAACAGCTGACATATGGTGGGGCTATTTGCCATTCCTTGAGGTAATACAACCCATTCATATCGTTGATCAGGTTCCTCATGATTGCATGAGGGGAGTGTGAATGCAAACCTGCGTGTATCCTTTTGACATAATGGTATACTGAAGAAACAGTCCTTGATATCTATCACTATCATATGCCAGGCAGCTGGGAGAGCTGACAGTAATGGCAGACCACGCTGCACTGGACCCATAATCTGCATCTGGTTGTTTATGACTCGCAAGTTCTGCAGTAAACACCATTTCCCAGATTTCTTTTTTTATGACAAAGATAGGAGTATTCCAGGGGGATACAGAAGGCTGCAAATGCCCAG